ATGTTTTGCAGACACAATAAATCAAAGAATCTATGAATAAAATATAAAAAGTCAGAAATAAGTAAAGAGTTACAGTGAAAAGAGTTATAATAATATGATTTTATATTTCAATATTTCGGATACAAGCGGCCGAGATGGGTTTTCTCCGCAGGGTGGCTGGTGTCTCCCTTAGGGATAAGGTGAGAAGTTCGGTCATCAGGGAGGGACTCGGAGTTGAGCCGCTCCTCCTTCGCGTCGAAAGGAGCCAGTTGAGGTGGTTCGGGCACCTAGTTAGGATGCCACCTGGGCGCCTCCCTAGGGAGGTGTTCCAGGCACGTCCAGCTGGGAAGAGACCAAGGGGTAGACCTAGGACCAGGTGGAGGGATTATATCTCTTCGCTGGCCTGGGAGCGCCTTGGGATCCCCCAGTCAGAGCTGGTTGATGTCGCCAGGGAAAATAAAGTTTGGGGCTCTCTGCTGGAACTGCTACCCCCGCGACCCGACCACGGATAAGCGGGAGAAGTTGGATGGATGGATGGATTTCAATATTTCGGACGTTGTGTTAATGCCATTAGGTTAATTCAAGTTTTTTTTTAACATCCTGGACATATTCGAAAATAGAATTCAAATAAAATTATTTCCAACAAAAATATAATGTTATAAATCACTCTTCACAAAAATATTTAATTGATCTCCTCACAATTGCTTTGGGACCAGATGTTGGCCCCTTTGTCTTTCTCACGATAATTATTAAATTATGATCAGTACATCAGTGAACATAAATGGCTAAAATGAGTAAATATATGATCAATATAAGTTGCCCTTTTTGACCCATCTTTCGTTATGCATATCCTAGTACAGGGGTGGCCAACCAATCAGAGGTAAAGAGCCAATAATTGTCCTGTGTTACTGCAAAGAGCCACATCATACAGTACACACAGGCACACATGCTGGGTGTATGTCCCCCGACCTCTCTCTCCTTCTCTCTTTTGCTCTCAGCCTTTCTGTGTGCTCCCTCACTCTCTTCCTCTATGTGCCCCTCTCTATCTCTCACACATACAAAATGAAAATCTAAAAATGAACAATAATTGACACACACACACTCACATACAGAAACACATACCTCTGCTCAGCCAGATTTCCTATAAATGTCAGTCCATGATATTGACAGAAATTGACTTAAACCTCTCCTACCAGTATTAAGACCAGAGGCCAGTTATAGTCAACCATTAATATTGTGTCTCACACACAAACTCTCAGTTAAAAACATTTGAAAAAAGTAGTTATCTTACTATGCATGTTGCTTCTTGAAATGTGTAGAGGATGTGGAAGGGGCTCAAATGCATGAAAGGGCACATTTGCAATCTTTGCGACTTTTTTCTCCCTGTCTGTATCTCACACACAGATTCATGACAGTTATTTAAAAATAAATAAAGTGTATTTTTGTTAATTCTCCTCACATGACATCTCAACTTTTACCTAACCCTCTGACTGACAGAAGCTCTGTTGACAGAGATTCACTTTCTCTCTTGTTTATTTCTTTACCGCGAATCACCAAATTCGGGAGCCCTTCTGTGCCAGTAGCCAGCTTTCCGGGAGCAGGCCTTCTCACATACATACAACTGCAAATTGTTACCGTTTTGATTTGACAACATTATATTGAGTTATTATGGTTTTATCTGAGTTATATTTCTGCCAATCGGAAGCAGATCTCTCCCTTCACTGTCACATCGCGAGTGCAGTAAAGCCCGCCTCCAGTACTGCAGGATCTGCATTTTGATTGGCTAAAGCACTTCTTTGTTGAAAACTCTGTGTAACGATTGGGCTGGAACTTGTGTGTTGTTAACCCTTTGTGAACTGGGATACATATGCGCAAAAAAAACAAAACACAATTAAAATTCGATATGAACTGAGGAGCCGCATGCGGCTCGAGAGCCGCGGGTTGGCCACTCCTGTCCTAGTAGGTTTAGTCACCATTTGTACCGTTTCTCACCCATTTCATCAACACTTCTCTAACTTCTGGTCACTTTCCAAACAGTCTCAAGGAGGCAAGAGTAAACCCTCTCCTAAAGAAACCCACTCTCAACCCGTCTGATGTTATAAACTACAGGCCTGTCTCTCTCCTCCCGTTCCTGTCTAAATCACTTGAACGCGCTGTCTTTAAACAACTCTCCTGTTATCTCAATCAGAACAACCTTCTGGATCCGCACCAGTCTGGTTTCAAGGCAGGTCACTCCACAGAAACTGCTCTCATTGCTGTCACGGAGGAACTGCACACTGCCAAAACTGCATCCCTCTCCTCTGTCATCATCCTATTGGACCTGTCTGCCGCATTCGACACGGTGAATCATCAGATCCTCCTTCGCACTCTCCAAAAACTTGGAGTTTCAGGCTCTGCACTTTCCCTCCTCACCTCATACCTCAAAGACCGTACCTACAGGGTGACTTGGAGAGGGTCTGAGTCCGACCCTTGTCAATTAACTACGGGGGTCCCTCAGGGCTCTGTTCTTGGTCCCCTCCTCTTCTCCGTGTACACAAACTCGCTCGGATCAGTCATTAGCCCGCATGGTTTTTCTTACCACTGCTACGCTGATGACACCCAATTAATTCTGTCCTTTCCCCGCTCAGAGACCCAGGTCGTTGCACGCATCTCTGCTTGTCTAGCTGACATCTCTCAGTGGATGTCTGCTCACCACCTCAAGCTCAACCTTGACAAGACTGAGCTGCTCTTCCTCCCGGGAAAAGATTGTCCCACTCTTGACCTGACAATCAACATCGGCACCTCAGTTGTTTCCCCGACTCAGACTGCAAGGAATCTGGGTGTGACCCTAGATAACAACCTGTCCTTCACTGCAAACATCGCTGCTACAACCCGTTGCTGCAGATACACGCTTTACAACATCAGGAAGATACGTCCCCAGCTGACTCAGAAAGCGACTCAGGTTCTGGTCCAGGCTCTCGTCATCTCACGCCTAGACTACTGCAACTCCCTCCTGGCTGGTCTACCTGCATGTGCCATCCGACCTCTGCAGCTCATCCAGAATGCAGCGGCTCGTCTGGTCTTCAACCTTCCTAAATTCTCCCACACCACTCCGCTCCTCCGCTCCCTTCACTGGCTTCCGGTAACTGCTAGAATCCACTTCAAGACACTGGTACTTGCTTACCATGCTGCGAATGGATCTGGCCCTTCCTACATCCAGGACATGGTTAAACCGTACACCCCAGCGCGTGCACTACGCTCTGCATCAGCCAAACGACTCGTTGCGCCCTCGCTGGGAGGGGGACCCAAGTTCCCATCGGCGAAAACACGTGGGTTTGCTGTCCTGGCTCCAAGATGGTGGAATGAGCTCCCCATTGACATCAGGACGGCAGATAGCTTGCACATCTTCCGGCGCAAACTGAAAACTCATCTCTTTCGACTCCACTTCGAGCGTTAGAACTACTAACGAAGCACTTTTATACTAATAAAGGACTGGCTTACCTAAAGCCAGTGGAGTAGCACTTGAAATGTTTGGCTCTATGAAACCTGATGTACTTATATGATTCTGTTTTCTTCAAGGTTGTGTCTTCCTGGTCGAATGTACTTATTGAAAGTCGCTTTGGATAAAAGCGTCAGCTAAATGCAATGTAATGTAATGTAATGTAATGTAATATATATATTATATATATATATATACACACACATACACATACACATACTGTATATTTGTCTGCAGCTTGTCTTTAAGGGCACAGTGCAGCATATTCCAGTTAATGTTTGAATATCCGATAAAATAAATCTCTGTCAAGATCACAAACTTTATCTAAAATGTCAAATACGTTGTCTCAATAAATTAGGTTTGCATTTGGAGGTCTGTAACAACATCCTACCAACACAGGTTTCAAGTTTGGTAAATTAATTTGCAACCAAAGTACTTCAATATCAGCAGACATCAAATCATATCTCACTTTAGCTGGTATTTGCTTTTGAATGTATACTGCCACCCCACCTCCATATGCATTCCTGTCCTTTCTAAATATACTATATCCATGAATATCCACTGCAGCGTCATTAAAGGTGTCATCTAAGTGAGTTTCAGATATAGCTAACAACTGAATACCACATGATAATATTTAAAGCCAATTTAAACCCTTTACTTGGTAACTTATTTGACATTAAGATGGCAAATGAAATGTTATCTGATTTTAACTTCCTTTCAAATTGAGAACTAAAACATACATGTAACACAATTTCAACCACACACACCATCACATACATAACCCAACATTTAACTGCACATATATTGCTATACATGTGCATACTCACTACCTCAATTAGACGAGTCTCCCGGTAGCTCCCAAACATTTTTAAATAACAGTCATTATATGAAATAGATTCATGGTAATATGAAAAGTGGTTTGTGTAGATTAAAAAAATAAACTATATAAAGAAACTATAGTGCTTTCAATTTTTGTTGGGAATGTGGTGTGTCGGTAGAATGAGTTCTAGATTGGGGACCAAATAAATACATGGCAGAGACTAACTGCCCAAAAATTCACGTGTTACTTAACCATGTTAATTTTTTTTAACAAGTAATGCCCTTGGTAAGAATGAATGGGCTTTGGTTAAATGTCAAAGTAAGTAAATGGGAAAGTCAAGAGAGAAGGACCATGGCTTTGTTTGCTGCTTGTTAGCCTGCTTGTATCATGTTGGCAGAACTAATTATTAAGCTTCAGGAAATGCTATGATAGCTCTGCTGAACTTTTTAATTGACTTTTTTTGTGCTTTATTTGGACGAATGTCAAAGGCTAATAGTACATAAACAATATAATAAAATATGTTTAAAAGTTTTGACTTTTTTAGTTTATAAAAAAAATGTGCTTGTAAATGAACTGTTAATGTCTGGCTCTTGATGTGATTTTCTTTACCAGTGTGCCCCTTAGTAAAATAGAATTTGACACTCATGCTTGACTAGATAGCTGCATTGGATATTCCTGTCAGTACTTCCTAAGTGCAAGAAGTTCATTGGACTAAAGATGTATTTTTCTCTGGTGCTTGCGTACAAGAGACTCAAGGGAACAGACCTTCCATTTGACATAAACAATGTTAGGGATTGCAAACTAGCTAACGCTCATCAGAGCTTCATCGTCGGAAAGAGAGCGAGAGGGAAGAGCTCACCTCTGTCCAACAGAACACAGTGCTGACGCACAGTTCTGTTCTCTGCATTAAAGACTGTGCTTCCCACAGCGTAGGTTTGAGAGGTTTTTCATAATGGACTTCTTCAACTCAGCTCTTGGAAAAAACATCACTTTTGTGCGTCCTGAATTTTTCATAATAAGTGGATTTATTGGCATACCCAATATCAATTATTACTATGTATTCCTCTTTTTTGTTTACATTGTTTCAGTGTTGGGAAACACTGCTGTGATGGCCATAATATACTTGGACCATAGGCTGAGAACTCCAAAATATATTGTAGTTTTTAATTTAGCATTTGTGGACCTGTGTGGTAGCTCTGCTTTGGTGCCAAAGGTTCTTGATATCTTTCTGTTTAACCATCAGTACATCCCCTACGCTGACTGCTTGGCATTTCTTTTTTTCTGCTACACGAGTCTTTCAATGCAGGTTCTTAATCTAGTTGCACTCTCGTATGACAGACTGATAGCTATCATCTACCCACTGCACTACCAAGTGAAGGTGACCCACAGGTTCATGCTGTCTTTGATTGCCTGTTTCTGGGTCTTTGTTATTACTGTTGTACTTATTGCAGTGGGCCTTCTAACGAGACTTTCCTTTTGTAAGTCTGTGGTTATTAACAGCTATTTCTGTGACCACGGCCAGATATATCGACTGGCTTGCAATGACAAGAAACCTAACGATGTCATTACTCTGTTTTTAATAGTTGTAATTCTTTGGCTTCCACTCACATTTATTCTGTTTAGTTATTCGTGTATCGGCTATGCATTGTCTAAAGTTGCCACAGTTCATGAAAGAGTGAAGGCCTTTAAAACCTGCACAGCTCATCTTTCGCTAGTGATTATTTATTTCATTCCAATATTAGTCACATTTACTATGACTTCAAAAATATCTCCGAATGCCAGGATCCTAAACCTGTCTCTGACCTCTGTCTTTCCTCCAATGCTGAACCCAATCATTTATGTTTTGCAGACGCAAGAAATCAAAGAATCTATGAAAAAAATATTGAAATTTAGAAAGAAATCCCAAATTACAGTGAAGAGAGAAATCATGCAATGATTATTTGTGTATTTAATTTGGACATTGTTTTAATGCCATCAGGTTAACTTTTGTTTTGTTAACATCTGCACACATTTGAACATTTAATTCAACACAAGTTATTCCATCAAAAATAAATTATAATAATTGAGCTTTAAATAAATAAACTAACTAATAGATAGCACAAAACAGTAAACATTAGAAATACAGTGTGTCAGGTTTAACACACCTACAATGAGAGTGTTCTGCTATTTGTTTTATCTGTGCTTGTGTATTAGGAGGATATTCTGGGAACACATTATTGTGATCAAAGTGTGTGTCTCTGTGCATGTTGTCTTGAAGGACTCTACTGTATATTAGAAAACTAATTGTGTCTTCAATTTAGTCTTTTACAGCATAATAAAAAGCATACAAATAAACCAATTTAGAATTCATTAAAATCAGTGACTATAAAATATGTTATTTCACAATCAAATGATGTATCCTTGTTCTGCTTCTTCATGTTTGTAGATGGATACCTCATATTTAAAAAGTAACAAGACATATTTTGTCTCTTGGTTCTCTTTTCTGAATCGATCTGTGTTTTCTAACTCTACGCTAATGACATGAAACCCTTCAGGTTTTTCAGGTACATACATACTGACTTTACCTGAAGCACTTTATTGTTAAGCAGCTGCAAAAAATGTAGAATCTGGAACGGGATTTCTTGAATTTAAACATTTTTTAAGATGAACAACCCAAATGTGCCCAAATATTTATCCTGAGTAAAGTTATCATCAAGGATGGATGTAGTTTAGACCGATATGACGAGTGGTTTGTGTGGATAAAAAAAAGAAAAGGAAACTTATGAATATATAAAGAAACTATAATGCTTTCAATTTCAGTTGTGAATGTGGCGTGTCCGTAGAATGAGTTCTAGATTGGGGACCAAATGAATACATGGAAGAGAATAACTCCCCAAAAATTCACCTATTACTTATCCATGTTAAGTTTTTTTTAACTTGGTAGGAATCAATGGGCTTTGGTTAAATGCTAAAGTCAGAGTAGGTAAAAGGGAAAGTCAAGAGAGAAGGACCATGGCCTTGTTTGCTGCTTGTTAGCCTGCTTGTATCATGTTGTCAGAACTAATTATTAAGCTTCAGGAAATGCTATGATGGCTATGCACAACTTTTTAATTGATTTTTTAGTGCTTTATTTGGACCAGGGCAAATGTCAAAGGCTGATGTGTCATTAACAATATTATTAAATATGTTGACATTTTTAAATAAAAATAAAATAAAAACGGCTTTTAAATGAACTGTTTATGTCTGGCTCTTGATGTGATTTTATTTTCTCAGTGTGTCCCTTAGTACATTGAGTTTAACACTCCTGCTCCGTAGGCTTCGACTACTGTAGATAGCTGCATTGGATATTCCTGTCAGTACTTCCTAAGTGCAAGAAGTTCATTGGACTAAAGATGTATTTTTCTCTGGTGCTTGCGTACAAGAGACTCAAGGGAACAGACCTTCCATTTGACATAAACAATGTTAGGGATTGCAAACTAGCTAACGCTCATCAGAGCTTCATCGTCGGAAAGAGAGCAGAGGGAAGAGCTCACCTCTGTCCAACCGAACACAGTGCTGACGCACAGTTCTGTTCTCTGCATTAAAGACTGTGCTTCCCACAGCGTAGGTTTGAGAGGTTTTTCATAATGGACTTCTTCAACTCAGCTCTTGGAAAAAACATCACTTTGTGCGTCCTGAATTTTTCATAATAAGTGGATTTATTGGCATACCCAATATCAATTATTACTATGTATTCCTCTTTTTTGTTTACATTGTTTCAGTGTTGGGAAACACTGCTGTGATGGCCATAATATACTTGGACCATAGGCTGAGAACTCCAAAATATATTGTAGTTTTTAATTTAGCATTTGTGGACCTGTGCGGTAGCTCTGCTTTGGTGCCAAAGGTTCTTGATATCTTTCTGTTTAACCATCAGTACATCCCCTACGCTGACTGCTTGGCATTTCTTTTTTTCTGCTACACGAGTCTTTCAATGCAGGTTCTTAATCTAGTTGCACTCTCGTATGACAGACTGATAGCTATCATCTACCCACTGCACTACCAAGTGAAGGTGACCCACAGGTTCATGCTGTCTTTGATTGCCTGTTTCTGGGTCTTTGTTATTACTGTTGTACTTATTGCAGTGGGCCTTCTAACGAGACTTTCCTTTTGTAAGTCTGTGGTTATTAACAGCTATTTCTGTGACCACGGCCAGATATATCGACTGGCTTGCAATGACTATAAACCTACTGATGACTTTAGTTGGTTTTTAATAGTTGTAATTCTTTGGCTTCCACTCACATTTATTCTGTTTAGTTATTCGTGTATCGGCTATGCATTGTCTAAAGTTGCCACAGTTCATGAAAGAGTGAAGGCCTTTAAAACCTGCACAGCTCATCTTTCGCTAGTGATTATTTATTTCATTCCAATATTAGTCACATTTACTATGACTTCAAAAATATCTCCGAATGCCAGGATCCTAAACCTGTCTCTGACCTCTGTCTTTCCTCCAATGCTGAACCCAATCATTTATGTTTTGCAGACGCAAGAAATCAAAGAATCTATGAAAAAAATATTGAAATTTAGAAAGAAATCCCAAATTACAGTGAAGAGAGAAATCATGCAATGATTATTTGTGTATTTAATTTGGACATTGTTTTAATGCCATCAGGTTAACTTTTGTTTTGTTAACATCTGCACACATTTGAACATTTAATTCAACACAAGTTATTCCATCAAAAATAAATTATAATAATTGAGCTTTAAATAAATAAACTAACTAATAGATAGCACAAAACAGTAAACATTAGAAATACAGTGTGTCAGGTTTAACACACCTACAATGAGAGTGTTCTGCTATTTGTTTTATCTGTGCTTGTGTATTAGGAGGATATTCTGGGAACACATTATTGTGATCAAAGTGTGTGTCTCTGTGCATGTTGTCTTGAAGGACTCTACTGTATATTAGAAAACTAATTGTGTCTTCAATTTAGTCTTTTACAGCATAATAAAAAGCATACAAATAAACCAATTTAGAATTCATAAAAATCAGTGACTATAAAATATGTTATTTCACAATCAAATGATGTATCCTTGTTCTGCTTCTTCATGTTTGTAGATGGATACCTCATATTTAAAAAGTAACAAGACATATTTTGTCTCTTGGTTCTCTTTTCTGAATCGATCTGTGTTTTCTAACTCTACGCTAATGACATGAAACCCTTCAGGTTTTTCAGGTACATACTGACTGACTTTACCTGAAGCACTTTATTGTTAAGCAGCTGCAAAAAAATTAGAATCTGGAACGGGATTTCTTGAATTTAAACATTTTGTAAGATGAACAACCCAAATGTGCCCAAATATTTATCCTGAGTAAAGTTATCATCAAGGATGGATGTAGTTTAGACCGATATGACGAGTGGTTTGTGTGGATAAAAAAAAGGAAACTTGTGAATATATAAAGAAACTATAATAAAGACCTACTACTGATATCAGAGTGGGTCATAAATAATAAGTTGGTACTTAATGCGGGAAAAACAAAATCTTTATTAATAGGATCAAATCATCAGTTAAAAGGTGAACCAAAATTGCAACTACATTTAAACCATATTCAAATGGAATAGGTCAAGGAGACAACATTGCTAGGTATAACCCTGGATCATAAATGATCTTGGTCTAAACAAATTGATAATGTTGTATGTATAATGGGAAGGGGTGTGTCACTTGTAAACATAATTGTAAAATATTTGCCAATGGATGTCAGTAGACAAGTTTTGGATGCTTTGGTTCTGTCGCAGCTTGATTATTGTTTGGTTGTATGGTCTAGTGCTGCAGAAAAAGATTTAAACAAACTACAAGTAACACAAAATAAGGCAGCACGATGTGCGCTGCAGTGCTCATACAGAACCAGAGTCACTGAAATGCTGGAGACACTGAAATGGTTAACTGTCAGACAGAGGTCAACTTATATTTTGTTACATTTTGGCAGAAATATTACAGTGACTCACTCACCACATATATTATCACAAAGGTTTATAGCGCAATATGCTCAACATAACTATCAAACACGACATACAATAGAAGGAAGGTTTGTATAACCCAAATCTAAATCAAATAAGGGACAGAAAACAGTACAGAGCCATGGTCAGCTGGAACTCTTTACCGGTCCACATCATTCAGGAACATTCTCAAGTACATTGCAAAAGGTTGCTAAAAAATGATTTAAGTATTATAAAGTACATTTGAACAGTGTCTGTGGCTATGTATGCATATATTATTATGTACACTTATTTGTATTTATTTTTGTTTGGCCATAGGATGGCGATAATTGGATGACCATTTTAGTTTTCACTTCATACAGTATTGTAAATTGCATGAAATTATGAGCAGTTTTGTTTTGTTTTAATTTTGTTGTATGTATGTTTATGTATGTTTTGTGTGTGTGAGGACCCCAGAAAGAATAGCCAATGCTCATGCTAGTGCTAATGGTGATCCTAATAAAGACATACAAAAAGAGAGAAGGACCATGGCCTTGTTTGCTGCTTGTTAGCCTGCTTGTATCATGTTGTCAGAACTAATTATTAAGCTTCAGGAAATGCTATGATGGCTATGCACAACTTTTTAATTGATTTTTTAGTGCTTTATTTGGACCAGGGCAAATGTCAAAGGCTGATGTGTCATTAACAATATTATCAAATATGTTGACATTTTTAAATAAAAATAAAATAAAAACGGCTTTTAAATGAACTGTTTATGTCTGGCTCTTGATGTGATTTTATTTTCTCAGTGTGTCCCTTAGTACATTGAGTTTAACACTCCTGCTCCGTAGGCTTCGACTAGATAGCTGCATTGGATATTCCTGTCAGTACTTCCTAAGTGCAAGAAGTTCATTGGACTAAAGATGTATTTTTCTCTGGTGCTTGCGTACAAGAGACTCAAGGGAACAGACCTTCCATTTGACATAAACAATGTTAGGGATTGCAAACTAGCTAACGCTCATCAGAGCTTCATCGTCGGAAAGAGAGCAGAGGGAAGAGCTCACCTCTGTCCAACCGAACACAGTGCTGACGCACAGTTCTGTTCTCTGCATTAAAGACTGTGCTTCCCACAGCGTAGGTTTGAGAGGTTTTTCATAATGGACTTCTTCAACTCAGCTCTTGGAAAAAACATCACTTTTGTGCGTCCTGAATTTTTCATAATAAGTGGATTTATTGGCATACCCAATATCAATTATTACTATGTATTCCTCTTTTTTGTTTACATTGTTTCAGTGTTGGGAAACACTGCTGTGATGGCCATAATATACTTGGACCATAGGCTGAGAACTCCAAAATATATTGTAGTTTTTAATTTAGCATTTGTGGACCTGTGCGGTAGCTCTGCTTTGGTGCCAAAGGTTCTTGATATCTTTCTGTTTAACCATCAGTACATCCCCTACGCTGACTGCTTGGCATTTCTTTTTTTCTGCTACACGAGTCTTTCAATGCAGGTTCTTAATCTAGTTGCACTCTCGTATGACAGACTGATAGCTATCATCTACCCACTGCACTACCAAGTGAAGGTGACCCACAGGTTCATGCTGTCTTTGATTGCCTGTTTCTGGGTCTTTGTTATTACTGTTATTCTTATTGCAGTGGGCCTTCTAACGAGACTTTCCTTTTGTAAGTCTGTGGTTATTAACAGCTATTTCTGTGACCACGGCCAGATATATCGACTGGCTTGCAATGACAAGAAACCTAACGATGTCATTACTCTGTTTTTAATAGTTGTAATTCTTTGGCTTCCACTCACATTTATTCTGTTTAGTTATTCGTGTATTGGCTATGCATTGTCTAAAGTTGCCACAGTTCATGAAAGAGTGAAGGCCTTTAAAACCTGCACAGCTCATCTTTCGTTGGTGGTAATCTATTTCGTCCCCATATTAGTCACATTTACTATGACTTCAAAAATATCTCCGAACGCCAGGATCCTAAACCTGTCTCTGACCTCTGTCTTTCCTCCAATGCTGAACCCAATCATTTATGTTTTGCAGACGCAAGAAATCAAAGAATCTATGAAAAAAATATTGAAATTTAGAAAGAAATCCCAAATTACAGTGAAGAGAGAAATCATGCAATGATTATTTGTGTATTTAATTTGGACATTGTTTTAATGCCATCAGGTTAACTTTTGTTTTGTTAACATCTGCACACATTTGAACATTTAATTCAACACAAGTTATTCCATCAAAAATAAATTATAATAATTGAGCTTTAAATAAATAAACTAACTAATAGATAGCACAAAACAGTAAACATTAGAAATACAGTGTGTCAGGTTTAACACACCTACAATGAGAGTGTTCTGCTATTTGTTTTATCTGTGCTTGTGTATTAGGAGGATATTCTGGGAACACATTATTGTGATCAAAGTGTGTGTCTCTGTGCATGTTGTCTTGAAGGACTCTACTGTATATTAGAAAACTAATTGTCTTCAATTGAGTCTTTTACAGCATAATAAAAAGCATACAAATAAACCAATTTAGAATTCATTAAAATCAGTGACTATAAAATATGTTATTTCACAATCAAATGATGTATCCTTGTTCTGCTTCTTCATGTTTGTAGATGGATACCTCATATTTAAAAAGTAACAAGACATATTTTGTCTCTTGGTTCTCTTTTCTGAATCGATCTGTGTTTTCTAACTCTACGCTAATGACATGAAACCCTTCAGGTTTTTCAGGTACATACTGACTGACTTTAACTGAATAACTTCATTGTTAAGCAGCTGCAACACATGTAGAATCTGGAACGGGATTTCTTGAATTTAAACATTTTGTAAGATGAACAACCCAAATGTGCCCAAATATTTATCCTGAGTAAAGTTATCATCAAGGATGGATGTAGTTTAGACCGATATGACGAGTGGTTTGTGTGGATAAAAAAAAGGAAACTTGTGAATATATAAAGAAACTATAATAAAGACCTACTACTGATATCAGAGTGGGTCATAAATAATAAGTTGGTACTTAATGCGGGAAAAACTAAATCTTTATTAATAGGATCAAATCATCAGTTAAAAGGTGAACCAAAATTGCAACTACATTTAAACCATATTCAAATTGAACAGGTCAAGGAGACAACATTGCTAGGTATAACCCTGGATCATAAATGATCTTGGTCTAAACAAATTGATAATGTTGTATGTAAAATGGGACGGGGTGTGTCACTTGTAAACATAATTGTAAAATATTTGCCAATGGATGTCAGTAGACAAGTTTTGGATGCTTTGGTTCTGTCGCAGCTTGATTATTGTTTGGTTGTATGGTCTAGTGCTGCAGAAAAAGATTTAAACAAACTACAAGTAACACAAAATAAGGCAGCACGATGTGCACTGCAGTGCTCATACCGAACCAGAGTCACTGAAATGCTGGAGACACTGAAATGGTTAACTGTCAGACAGAGGTCAACTTATATTTTGTTACATTTTGTCAGAAATATTACAGTGACTCACTCACCACATATATTATCACAAAGGTTTATAGCGCAATATGCTCAACATAACTATCAAACACGACATACAATAGAAGGAAGGTTTGTATAACCCAAATCTAAATCAAATAAGGGACAGAAAACAGTACAGAGCCATGGTCAGCTGGAACTCTTTACCGGTCCACATCATTCAGGAACATTCTCAAGTACATTGCAAAAGGTTGCTAAAAAATGATTTAAGTATTATAAAGTACATTTGAACAGTGTCTGTGGCTATGTATGCATATATTATTATGTACACTTATTTGTATTTATTTTTGTTTGGCCTTAGGATGGCGATAATTGGATGACCATTTTAGTTTTCACTTCATACAGTATTGTAAATTGCATGAAATTATGAGCAGTTTTGTTTTAATTTTGTTGTATGTATGTTTATGTATGTTTTGTGTGTGTGAGGACCCCAGAAAGAATAGCCAATGCTCATGCTAGTGCTAATGGTGATCCTAATAAAGACATACAAAAAGAGAGAAGGACCATGGCCTTGTTTGCTGCTTGTTAGCCTGCTTGTATCATGTTGTCAGAACTAATTATTAAGCTTCAGGAAATGCTATGATGGCTATGCACAACTTTTTAATTGATTTTTAGTGCTTTATTTGGACCAGGGCAAATGTCAAAGGCTGATGTGTCATTAACAATATTATCAAATATGTTGACATTTTTAAATAAAAATAAAATAAAAACGGCTTTTAAATGAACTGTTTATGTCTGGCTCTTGATGTGATTTTATTTTCTCAGTGTGTCGCTTAGTACATTGAGTTTAACACTCCTGCTCCGTAGGCTTCGACTAGATAGCTGCATTGGATATTCCTGTCAGTACTTCCTAAGTGCAAGAAGTTCATTGGACTAAAGATGTATTTTTTTCTGGTGCTTGCGTACAAGAGACTCAAGGGAACAGACCTTCCATTTGACATAAACAATGTTAGGGATTGCAAACTAGCTAACGCTCATCAGAGCTTCATCGTCGGAAAGAGAGCGAGAGGGAAGAGCTCACCTCTGTCCAACAGAACACAGTGCTGACGCACAGTTCTGTTCTCTGCATTAAAGACTGTGCTTCCCACAGCGTAGGTTTGAGAGGTTTTTCATAATGGACTTCTTCAACTCAGCTCTTGGAAAAAACATCACTTTTGTGCGTCCTGAATATTTCATAATAAGTGGATTTATTGGCATACCCAATATCAATTATTACTATGTATTCCTCTTTTTTGTTTACATTGTTTCAGTGTTGGGAAACACTGCTGTGATGGCCATAATATACTTGGACCATAGGCTGAGAACTCCAAAATATATTGTAGTTTTTAATTTAGCATTTGTGGACCTGTGCGGTAGCTCTGCTTTGGTGCCAAAGGTTCTTGATATCTTTCTGTTTAACCATCAGTACATCCCCTACGCTGACTGCTTGGCATTTCTTTTTTTCTGCTACACGAGTCTTTCAATGCAGGTTCTTAATCTAGTTGCACTCTCGTATGACAGACTGATAGCTATCATCTACCCACTGCACTACCAAGTGAAGGTGACCCACAGGTTCATGCTGTCTTTGATTGCCTGTTTCTGGGTCTTTGTTATTACTGTTATTCTTATTGCAGTGGGCCTTCTAACGAGACTTTCCTTTTGTAAGTCTGTGGTTATTAACAGCTATTTCTGTGACCACGGCCAGATGTATCGACTGGCCTGCAATGACTATAAACCTACTGATGACTTTAGTTGGTTTTTAATAGTTGTAATTCTTTGGCTTCCACTCACATTTATTCTGTTTAGTTATTCGTGTATCGGCTATGCATTGTCTAAAGTTGCCACAGTTCATGAAAGAGTGAAAGCCTTTAAAACCTGCACAGCTCATCTTTCGTTGGTGATTATTTATTTCATTCCAATATTAGTCACATTTACCATGGATTCAAAAATATCTCCGAATGCCAGGATCCTAAACCTGTCTCTGACCTCTGTCTTTCCTCCAATGCTGAACCCAATCATTTATGTTTTGCAGACGCAAGAAATCAAAGAATCTATGAAAAAAATATTGAAATTTAGAAAGAAATCCCAAATTACAGTGAAGAGAGAAATCATGCAATGATTATTTGTGTATTTAATTTGGACATTGTTTTAATGCCATCAGGTTAACTTTTGTTTTGTTAACATCTGCACACATTTGAACATTTAATTCAACACAAGTTATTCCATCAAAAATAAATTATAATAATTGAGCTTTAAATAAATAAACTAACTAATAGATAGCACAAAACAGTAAACATTAGAAATACAGTGTGTCAGGTTTAACACACCTACAATGAGAGTGTTCTGCTATTTGTTTTATCTGTGCTTGTGTATTAGGAGGATATTCTGGGAACACATTATTGTGATCAAAGTGTGTGTCTCTGTGCATGTTGTCTTGAAGGACTCTACTGTATATTAGAAAACTAATTGTCTTCAATTTAGTCTTTTACAGCATAACAAAAAGCATACAAATAAACCAATTTAGAATTCATAAAAATCAGTGATTATAAAATATGTTATTTCACAATCAAATGATGTATCCTTGTTCTGCTTCTTCATGTTTGTAGATGGATACCTCATATTTAAAAAGTAACAAGACATATTTTGTCTCTTGGTCCGCTTCTCTTTTCTGAATCGATCTGTGTTTTCTAACTCTACGCTAATGACATGAAACCCTTCAGGTTTTTCAGGTACATACTGACTGACTTTAACTGAATAACTTTATTGTGAAGCGGCTGCAACAAATCTACATGCTTTAAATTTCAGTCAGGAATGTGGTGTGTCAATTAATGCCCTTGGTAGAAATAAATGGACTTTGGTTAAATGCTAAAGTAGGTAAATAGGAAAGTAAAGAGAGAAGGACCATGGCCTTGTTTTCTGCTTGTTAGCCTGCTTGTATCATGTTGTCAGAACTAATTATTAAGCTTCAGGAAATGCTATGATGGCTATGCACAACTTTTTAATTGATTTTTTAGTGCTTTATTTGGACCAAAATGAATGTCATTGGCTGATGTGACATTTAATTAAACACAAGTTATTCCATCGAAAATACATTATAATAATTGAGCTTTCAATTAATAAACTAATAGATAGCACAAAAAAATATAGTGTGTCAGGTATAACACACCTACAATGAAAGTGTTCTGCTATTTGTTTTATCTGTGCTTGTGTATTAGGAAGATATTCTGGGAACACATTATTGTGATCAAAGTGTGTGTCTCTGTGCATGTTGTCTTGAAGGACTCTACTGTATATTAGAAAACTAATGTTGTCTTCAATTTGGTCTTTTACAGCATAATAAAAAGCATACAAATAAACTGATTTAGAATTCATAAAAATCAGTGACTATAAATGATTTAATTCCAATATTAGTCACATTTACTATGAATTCAAAAATATCTCCGAATGCCATGATTCTAAACTTGTCTCTGACCTCTGTCTTTCCTCCAATGCTGAACCCAATCATTTATGTTTTGCAGATGCAAGAAATCAAAGAATCAGTGAAAAAAATATTAAAAATCAGAAAGAAATCTAAAATTACTGTAAGGATGTAATCATCAAATTACAAATTGTCTAAATATTTTGGGTCTTGTGTAAATAACATTATGGGTCTTGTTTATATAAAGTTGTGATACTGAAAATATTTTCTTATTAAACAATTTAACGATTGAGCTATCTCTTCAGCTTTTCATTGCAGCATGCCTTGATGCATTACATTATGGTTGTCCGGGCGTTTTTTGTGTTTATATTTGTTGTTGTGTTGTATGCATACAAGTGTATTTTGATGTTATAAAAGATGTGGCAGAATTATATGGATAACAAGATTGTTGTGGGACATATCTAAAGTGGTCGGTGTAAATTGC